AGTATATGTTATTTTGTTCACGATACAGAGGTCGTATACTTCGAATGTGACAATATAAACGCAATATATCTACGAGCCAATTAAACACGTCTCCACACATGTTGTTGATGACAGCATAAATAAACTAGTCGGCAACCAAATAACAGTACTAGTACACAGGAAGGTGGTCTGTGGACACACACCATGGTCACTGTGCGCACACAGAGGTATAAATTCACATTTCCTTGGTTATACAACCTTGTTGTCATTTTCCTTTCTCTACTTCATTAGACAAGGTCCGTCAGCTACTCTCAAAGTATGCACAAAGACATTACAGCGGAAGTATCGACCGACGCGCAGCGTGTTATTTTATGTAGTAATTGGGTTCTGTAATGCATTGTTCGATTGTCTGAAATGTTCAGACGAAATACGAAATCTCGCGTGACTTAAATCACGCACTTAGCAACTGGTTGACAAAGGTCAAGCTTTTCATTCACGACGGTGGCAACCACATTGATTGCTGTGTTCATGGAAGCATGGAGGTAAAACCAATACATGATGGAAGGTACTAACGGAACCTTTTTTTTTTTATTTTATTTTTTTTTATTATTTTGCTGTGATTGTGGCGCGATACCCACACTTCAAACACAATGCGTAAATAGAAAAATAACTAAACACAATGAATCTCCACTGCGTCGCCCGTATTAGACACAGGTAAAGTCATTATTATACTAGTAATGTAGTGTTCAGTGTTATATATTACATTTATGTATATATACCATGTAATGTTCATTATTCAGAAATAATGTTACGTTGATACAATTTGAAAACAAGATAATGTATGCAGGTAATACAAAAAATAAGTTTGCGTCAATGCCGCACCTCTTCGGAAAAAATAATCTCGATTAGTTGGCTACTCCAGATGAGAATTAATATAGCAACGAATACGACGCAGCTGAATTCCAGAATGACTTTAAGATAATCTATTTGCCAGCTATATTACTTTTTTTTTTCTTTTTTTTTGTGTTTAGTGGTGATTTATTTTGTCAACAGCAAAGTTTTGCCAATTGTACTGAATGAATGCCCTCTGTGTGGAACTGCATTGCATTGTGGGTGAACATAAATTGTTCTATGGGAAAACTGTCGCCCCTTTCAGGAATACACTTTCCACGCAAATGGCCGCCGGATTCTCGTTAAAAGCGAGAAATCCGCGAGACTTTTTTTTTTTTTTTTTTTTTTATTATTATTATTATTATTATTATTATTATTATTATTATTATTATTATTATTATTATATGATATTAAAACAGTACAAATACAAAATAACATAACAACGTAAAAATTCAAATGAAAAAACAAAACAATTTAGAGTAACTCAATTGAATCAAACAGTGGGTCCCATGTACTTTTGAATCCATGTAAGAGAATCTTTCTGTATGGACTTGGAATACTCAATATTAAAGGTTAAAATCAAAGTATTTTTCCATGCCTCTATACTTGGCTGCACCTGTTTCCATTTACACCGCATAATATACAATTTCGTAAAAAGTATCAGAAAATTTAAAAGGCAGAGATGATTTCTGTTTGAATTTAAAGGTATG